TTATGGAATGTGGAATAGGAGAACATAGACCCCACACAACCTATATATTATGTGAGAAATCTTTAAAGAATTCTGATAAAGAAAGAGATCTAGGAGTGGTTCTAGATAGAAAACTATCACCTGAGGACCACATAAAGAATATTGTGCAAAGAGCCTATGCTATGCTTTCTAACTTCAGAATTGCATTTAAATACATGGATGGCGATATACTAAAGAAGTTGTTCATGAGTTTTGTTAGGCCAAAGCTAGAATATGCAGCTGTTGTGTGGTGCCCATATCTTAAGAAGCACATCAACAAACTGGAAAAGGTGCAAAGACATGCTACTAAGTGGCTCCCAGAACTGAAGGGCAAGAGCTACGAGGAGAGGTTAGAAGCATTAAATATGCCAAAACTAGAAGACAGAAGAAAAAGAGGTGATATGATCACTACATACAAAATAGTAACAGGAATTGATAAAATCGACAGGGAAGACTTCCTGAGACCTGGAATTTCAAGAACAAGAGGTCATAGATTTAAACTAGCTAAACACAGATGCCGAAGAAATATAAGAAAATTCACCTTCGCAAATAGAGTGGTAGACGGTTGGAACAAGTTAAGTGAGAAGGTGGTGGAGGCCAAGACCGTCAGTAGTTTCAAAGCGTTATATGACAAAGAGTGCTGGGAAGACGGGACACCACGAGCGTAGCTCTCATCCTGTAACTACACTTAGGTAATTACACTTAGGTAATTACCTGGAGGACAGAATGGCCTTGGGCTTTGAGGATATGTTTAATATCCTCATGGCAATCTTTGAGGTCCTGAACACCAGTTGCAACATGGTGTGGGAGGAGAACAATGCCAACACTGGCATTTAACCAAGCATTTTTAGAGATCCGAACAAGGGTCTCTCCAATGCAGGACAAAGCGGCTAAACAAGTAGCTGCATCGTGAAAAGGAGCAGCGACAACACGCGTACTGTAACTGGTGGATTTAAAAGTAACAGAGGCATCTACTGAATCAACAAGGTGTTTATGGAGGGAGAAATCATCAGGAGTAGAAGAATCCAGATGGTGGAGATCAAAGTATTTAGTCCACGTAGCGGGACCAAACAAGGCGTTGTAAGTATTAGTATGGGAAGGGATCATGCGAGTGCGGCCGTGGCGGGGACAGCGTTGAGAACCCCCAGAGAGCGGGTAAAAGGCCCAGTAGTCACAATGAGAGAAGGAGTCGTGCCAGGGGACGAGGTGGTCACCACTAGGGGCTGGGAACTCGTCCCTACCACAGAGGAGGGAGGGGAGTAGTCAGGGGGTCGGGGCCCAATGCAGCGGGGGCTACAGGGGCCTGGTCTTACAACACAGCCTGACTCGGGGGCTTGGTCGCCCACCCCACGAGCCTGAGAAGGAACAAAGGAAACATTATAAGCCATGAAAACGAGGAAAAAACTTTCATTCACGAATGTGCCCCTACACCCACCATGGAGCCACAATTAGAGGCAGGACACCCAACAAGAAGCTATCGTCAATCTTGCCGGGGCCCCCCAGGGGTTTGTCGTGAGTATACGCCCCAGAAACGCCACCTTAAGAACCGTGAGTCCGTCGAGATCGAGGTCAGTGACGAAAGGAGGATTGACAATAAAAGGTTCCCCTCGCTCTCGACATCGAGTACTACAGTTCTACGGGTGTAAGATTATGCCTTCTCAAACACCCGGGCGTCAAAATAGAAGAAGTCTATTTTGAATAATCAAAACAGCCAAAAGGTCAGCAGGAAATGACAATTAGAAAGGAGAAGAGGGGGAGGGGGGGGGGGAATGAAACACAAGGAAAAGGAAAAGAGTTCTGGCAAAATTAGTAAAGACAGCAGCCAGAGCATAAGGTTTCAAAAGGACAGAGGACTGACCCATGGAGCATCACACTCCGGCAGCCGCCCACCAAGCCCCCTCACGGCGATAACGAGTCAGAAAGGGAGGGGGTTCAGGTGCACAAGTGAGGCGTCTCTATGCCCCTTGTGTGGTGACTCGGGTTATTCTAAGAAGGCTCTTCTTCCCACACTCTCTGCAACAATTATGGTGATGCCCACCCTACGTTCTTCTGCATGTGCGCATGTATGCACAACAAATTTGAGGAAGCCATCCTCAATTTATAACGTCACGATCATTTATTTTTTTCTTTGGCGAGATGCCAGGTACACTATCTTTCCCTTATGTCTTATGCTCGTGCGTTGTGTTCCACTTCTCCTCGCCCTCTCCCTCTTTCTTAGATTTGCTACCGTTTCCAGGCTTTGGACTCCGACACCTCCACCACCTCCTCTCCTGCTCATTTGCATTCTGGCCAGAGGGTCTTCCACCTGGTTCTCCGTCTGCTGTTTCCTTCATTCCCAGTCTTCTCCGTGAGAGTGAGGATGCACTGTATATATAACATACAGTGGTACCTTGGCTTACGAGCATCCCTGGTTAGGAGTACTGTATTTCGGGTTACAGGCAGGATTTTCTTGGAAAATTTGTATCGGTATACAAGGGTTGCCTCAGGATAAGAAGGTGTTGATACGCGTACCGGCCGACCTAGCGTGTGGTGGCACGGCGATTGCCGCTCAGTTTACCAGTGCCTTGCACTCAGTGACTATCCCGCACGGCGATTGCCGCTCAGTTTACCAGTGCCTTGCGCTCAGTGACTATCCCGCCTGAATTCTTCACAAGGATTTACCGTTTATTTTAGGAGTTTTTGTTATTCGAGCATAAAATTTGTTATAATAGTATATCGCAATGGGTCCCAAGAAAGCCAGTGGTAAGGTTCAAGGCAAGAAATCGCATGTGAGGATGATAATAGAGGAAAAGCAAGAGATCATTCGGAAGCATGAAAATGGTGCACGTGTTGTTGAACTTTGTAGGCAGTACACAAATCCACGTCAATGATATGCACTATACTTGCCAAGAAAAAGGACATTATGAGTGCTAAAGTGGCAAAAGGAGTATCAACAATCACGAAGCAAAGAACACAAATACTTGAGGAAGTGGAAAAGTTGTTATTAATTTGGATACACAACAAGGATTTAGCGGGTAATAGTGTTTCAGAGGCCATCATTTGTGAGAAAGCTAGGGCATTGCACGAAGACCTTCTGAAGAAAACCCCTGGAACGAGTACAGATATGAAAGACTTTAAGGCAAGCAGGGGATGGTTTGAGAAATTTAGAAAAAGAAGCAGAATTCATAGTGTTGTGAGGCATGTGGAGGCTACCAGCTCAGACAAATCAGCAACTGAAAGATTTACTGAAGAATTTAAAAGAGTTTGCAGAGGCTGAGGGATACCAACTGCAACAGGTGTTTAATTGTGATGAAACAGGACTGTTCTGGAAAAGATTGCCTAAGAGGACATACATTACCAAGGAGGAAAAATCATTGCCTGGACACAAGCCTGTGAAAGATAGGTTTATGCTTGTGCTGTGTTCAAATGCAAGTGGCAATTTGAAAATTAAACCCTTTCTAGTGTATCATTCTGAAAATCCAAGGGTTTTTAACCCATATAAAGTGCAGAACAACCAAATGTGTGTGATGTCGAGGGCTAATAATAAGGCATGGGTGACTAGGATTTTTTTTCAGAATGGGTGAATGAAGTGGTGTGCCCTGCCATAGAAAAATATCTGCAGGAGAAACATTTGCCACTCAAGGCCCTGCTTCACTTCGACAATGCTCCTGCTCATCCTCAAGGCTTGGAAGATGAATTGTTGCACAGATACAGTAATTTTCTCACAGTAAAGTTCCTCCTAACACCACTCCTCTAATCCCATGGACCAGAAAATCATAGCGAATTTTAAGAAACTTTATGAAAGGGCACTTTTCCGGAAATGTTTTGAAGTGACTGAAGCCACAAACCTCACTCTCAAAGAGTTCTGGAAACACCATTTTAACATTTGTAGTTCTTTAAAACTCGGTGACAAAGCCTGGCAAGAAGTGACTCAAAGAACCCAGATCTTTGGCTGGAGAAAATTGTGGCCTGAATGTGTGACAGAACTAGACTTTGAGGGGTTTCAGCTTGTAAATGATGTGCCTATTGTTGAGAAAATTGTTACTCTGGGCCGGCAAATGGGCTTGGAATTGGATGGTGATGATGTAAAGGAGTTAGTGGAAGAAGACAACAAAGAACTGACCACCGAAGAACTCCAAGCCCTTCAAAAGGAACAGCAAGAAGACCCAGCTTCTTGAAACATCTTGAGGATGTTTCTCCAGTGGAGGAGGATGAGGCAGCAGCGAATGTCCCTTCCACAACCATTAAGAAGTGGTGTCAGATGTGGGAAGAGATGCAAACTTTTATTGAAAAAGACTCACCCAGAGAAAGTTGTAGTAGGTCATTGCATTAATCTTTTCAATGACAATGTGATGCCTCACTACAGAGACATCTTGCGCAGAAGGGAAAAACAATCTTCCATGGACAGATTTGTTGTGAGAACATCGAGCAGTGAGCCACAACCAGGACCTATTGGTATGCAGGCAAAACGTGCCAGAGAATGTACCCCAGAGAGGTCCTCACTGCCTGATGTTATAATGGAAGGGGACTCCCCTTCAAAACAGTAACATCTCTTCTGCTACCCTCTCCTCACCATCTTCCATATGCCTACAGCATTCATCAGCAATGGTAAGTAATAACTTGAACATAGTTTTGTAGTGTAGATTTTGATGAATTAGGTATAAAATTTAGTTTGAAGTGAGGTTTTTGGATAGTCAGGAACAGATTAATTCGTTTCCATTTATTTCTTATGGGGAAATTAGCTCCGGTTTACAAGTTTTCGGGTTACGAGCTGTCTCTAGGAACGGATTAAACTCTTAAACCGAGGTACCCCTGTATTTCTGCCTATTTTCTTGTGTCTTTGAGGAGCAATGTCCAGCTCTTCAACCAAGCCTCCCAACTGTTGTCTGTTTAGAAAGCTTTATAAACTTTGTAATTTTTCATGTTTTACAAATAAAGCAGGAATTTAATAATATACAATATTAAGCCTTATTTTTATATCATAAGGAAAATAATACTTATGCTGGGTTTGAACTTGTAATTTAACTTTATTAAAATAATTTTTATGTCTTGTGATGATTCTGCAAACCAAAGTAATACTGTGCTTGTGATTGAACTTTATTTAGGCACTTTCTATATCCTGTGATGATTCAGCAGACCAAAGCCACATCTGGCCAAGCGTGGCAGTCAGAAGGTATGCTTCTGATGGGTGTGAGGAGAGGGAGTGCACCACTTTGCTACCCACATGCTCCAGTCTGCAAGAACACATAAGAATATTGTTATAAAGTACTGTATAAACCCGCTAATCTGGACTATATGGGAAGTACCCCTTGCCGGATTAGCACGTTTTCCAATTTAACGTACTTTTTCACCAAGGAAGTCCAAAAGTGACCATTTCCAACTATTTTTATACCACAAACAACATAATTTGAATTGCCACATACAATTATAAAATAGTCAACTAGATACCTCCACTTACCTTGTTGTAGTTCATCTTCTTGATTGATGCCACACATCTTGAAGTTAAGAATTACTGACAATTTATGTAACCTATTCTAACACAACATTAAAATTAACACCTAAAATTCATATACAGTTCATGAGGCAAGGTCAATTTTGACTGCCAGCCGCTGAAGCCTCACTGGTTGAAGGTTCTTGGTATGCCTGTGACACCTCACTAGTTGAAGGGCCTTTGGTTGCTTTTCTTACAAAATAAGACAAGTATAGCTTGCCTTCTGTGTTCACTGGCCTCTTTTACGATCAGCTCATTGGTTCGCCTCAGATACTGATGTTTCTAACTCCTAGATTAACGCAGTTGGATGAAAAATAAATTAACATATCAACAGAAGACATGAGTAAACTGTATTTTGTTGTCTGTGGTGTTGGTTCCTCACTGCCTTCTGCATCCTTCGTCTCTTCGTCGACCTCACCAGTAATAGACTAGAGAATCTCTTCTTCGCTCATCACACCATATCCTGGGGTCATTAGCATCTCTTTCAAGCCAATCAACCACATCCTGTCTTTCTAAATTTTCACCAGCATTTCTAAACATTCCATGGATTTCATCTGTAAATCCTTCAAAATTCATTTCTTCATCTTCCTCATTGCTGGCCATAGACATGAGTTTTTTCCAGGAATTCTTCAAAGTCAATTCCTTTACTTCACTTTACACCTTGGCCCAGTTATAGATGGCTTCCTTGATGGAATTGTTCTTCAAATTCTCAAGGGGTTCTTTTAGCCCAGTTATCCACACCGAGTTCCATATCTTCCTCATGAGGCAAAACCACCAAAACTTCGCTGAGCATCGTTTTGGTGTTGGTGTACAACCTCTTCGTGACACAGATAACTCCTTGATCCATAGGCTGGATGAGAGAGGTTGTATTAGGAGGAAGTGCCATACACGTTATCTTGCCATCATGTGAGGTTAACGTATCAATTCTGGGGTGGGCAGGCAGGCGCATTATCAAGCAACAGCAAAGCCTGAACTTTGCTTGGCCTCACTTTTGAGTGTCTTAACTTGATGGTCACGAACTTCCTTGCAGAAGTTTCACGTCATGGTTTCACGTCAGTTTCACATCTTCCTTTCTTGGTTTCACGTCAGTTTCACGTCATGAAACCAAGACAGAAAGATCTCCTGTGTAAACCATGCATTCTTTGAGTTATAATATTTCACAGGCAGTCTGTCCAAGCAATGTTGCAAGGCTCTTGGTTTCTTTGATTTGCCAACAATTGCAAACATGATTCTGTCTGTGCCGTTGGTATTGGCACACATCGTGGCAGACAGCCTGTCCTTGTTAACCTTACGGCCTGGCACACAACCCTCACTCCTCATAGCTAGAGTTTTTTCTGGTAAACTCCTCCAATACAGCCCAGTTTTATCAGCATTATTAATTTTATAAGAATATAAATTATTTGACAAAATGCATGTTCCTAATTTATGTTTAACCCTCAAACTGCAGGGGTCCAAATGGCTTCAACACCCACAGGTGCAACAAAAAAAAATCATTTTTTTTTCTTTTTAATCTCTTTATTTGTGTTCCCTGAGCATGGGAAAAATAATAAAAAAATTTAATTGTACTTACCAACGCTGTAAATGAGCCAAGAAGATTGGTGCTGACATCACGCCTCATCTTCGCTGGACCTCTGTGCTCCCGGGGTGAGTCAGGCGCAACAGAGGAGGAGCCAGAGTTGCCGCAAATTTATTTTCACGGTATTATTTACAGTATCTATGGCGTATTTTACACCCATTTTTTTCACTGGTGTGGTTCAATATGTTCTCACTTGACGATTTGTTATCATAGAACTGTTATAAATGTATATTATATCCACATATTAGTGTCACAAGTATTTGCACAAAAATGTCTTATTTTCAATAAAATATACTATTTCATATGATTCATTTTCCATATTTACACCCACTTATTCTGTATTTACATGTTTTTGCACCAGTCTTGAACATCAAGAGTGACATACTCGTCAAAACATTTGACATAGCACAGGGGGACTTGACACGCTGTGCACCAAGTCATCACCATTTTTCGTTTCTGTTGCCTCTTGGTTGTTGTCTTGCATAAATGCACTCACGCTGGCCAACAGCACGCTTTGCAGTTGGTGGTAAATACCTGAAATTGTGTGTGACAAAGACATCCTTGAAAGCGAGCCTGGGTGTTGGAGCATGGTGCAATACTGGGTTCAGAATAGGCCTCTGTATGCCAGGAATTACATTGCCAAATTTCTCTAGTAATTGTGTCACTACAGTAAAACGCATGGCTGGGCCAGATGCTGCTGACGCGACAAAATGTTGCTTGACAACACCACACACTCCACTAGCACCAAAACTATTTTCCAATTCTAAGTCACTAAAACCGGAAAATGATTCACCTTCCTCAGACTCATCGAACAAAACATCAATATCCTGCAAGGTAGCACATGAACTGTGGGGTCTGGCATGAAGTGGAGTCGAGTGAGGGCGAGGAGGCATGGGCGAGATGCTAGGCCTAGCCCTGGTGGAGCCAGCATGTTCAAACTCGATGTCGATCGTATCCACCTCTTAGGGCTGTGTGTAGTCATGATCAAAGTCAGAGTCGTCAATATCAGATTCATCGCCATCCAGGAGCAAATTCTTATTAATTTCGTCCTCGGTCAGAGGTCGCGAGGAACGCCTCGTTGAGCGGGGTCGGTTGTTGGAACTTGATGCGCTTGCCATGGTGTCCGCCGGGTAACTGAGGCCCCTACACAATACCGGCCTACGCAGGATATTTTTCCCAGGTGGCGTTTGTTTATGGCCGGGTGCGGCCCGCCGATGACTACCCCTATCTCACACAGGGCATTTAAATTATACAGCTAGACACGAAATCATCTATTAATGTATTCCGCGGTTTCGGTTTTGTTACTGAAATCATCTATTAATGTATTGCACGGTTTAAGGGGTTAAATGGTTCTACACTGCTTGTATCTGCACTTAATTTTTCACCAACAATTTTCCTCTTGACAATATTGTGCATTACTTTGCACCTTGCAACCCACCCTTCACTTGCTTGGAAATCCATTATTTCAAGGCTTGCTGCAACCCTCCTTGCAGCATTTCTTATTTCTGGACCATGGGTTGTCACGCCAGCTGTGTGGTGCTGAGCAAACCACTTATACACAGCTACATCCAACTGTACATGCTTTGAAGGATTCAAAGTTCTTCTACCGCACCCTCTGCTAGTGCTTGCACCTTCACTCTCACTGGTTAGAGTGAATCCACAACTAGTGGTTGAAATGTATTTCAGGTATTGCTCGTTTTGTTTCCTTATATCAAAAGCAGTACTAGTGCCTATATTAAAGTCCTTGGCAACTTCTGTAGTATTGAGCCCCTTCAGCTCCCCAGAGCTATACCGGGCTGATGTGTATATATTAGACCGTGGCAACAGTCAATCTAAGGAGTTCTAGGCCTACCGGGGACCAGAGCCAGAACCTGGCCCCCTCAAAAGAGGCACGAGGAGCAATGGCCTAAAGACACCCCCGTGTAAATGGAAGCAGTCTTTGTCTGCCATCTACCAGATCAAATAAATACTGCTGATCAAATAAATTGCAAACCAAAAGCCAAACTAACAACAGAACTCCCTAATCAAAACCAAGGAAACAAATATGACCTCACCACAAACGCCTCGCATCCATCTGCACAACCCCTCCCTCCCTCCCCAGGTGGGGGACGGGGGGTCCCAGACCTCCACGCCGGCAACTCTTCTCAGTTCAAGAGGCTGTTGTGTTGGTGATGGTCGATTGCTCTGGCTCCACTCTTTGAGCAGTGCTGCTGTGCGGTGTTGTTGCTGTTTTGGTGGTGTGTGAGCCAGGAGTAATACAAGAGTACTGGGGCTGCATGCACCTAGGGTTGCCTTCCCTAGGTCGCCCTGTAAGTACTGTCTTTGCGGGCTCAGGGTTATCTTCCATGAGCTGTTCAAGAGCAGCTACCTCCGTGTGGTTCTGTCGCTGCTCGGTGATTGCCCGCCCTTGGGGGTTCAGCTGGCGTGGTTCTTACTCCTGTTTTCCCTTGGGTTAGGAGGTAGTTTCGTCGCTGGCTGGGGCGCGAGGTACTGTGCAGCTGTCTGATATACGCATAGCAACCGGTTCTGTTCTCCTGGAGACGTTGTGCTTTTGCGGGGTTTTTCTTTTGTTTTTGTTTTGTTTTGCCTGGCGGGGGTCTGCCAGGTGTGGCGGTAGGACCACTGGTAGGTTTTTGGTGGCCCTCCACTAGGTCCCTGTGCTTGCACACGTCGCAGGGGTTCAGCTTTTAGATTGTTTGCTTGGTAGCTCTGGGATAACCGGTTAGCAGTACCTCGCCTGGGCTTCCCTTAGCAGTCAGCCTAAGGGCCCTGGAAACCCCCATTGGGGCTCAGTGGTCCAATGTAGGAGACCTCTGAGTCCCACCTCGCCTTGTGCGAGTTTGAAGGTTGCTCTGTCCCCCTGTTTTGGGGTGACACTCACCGTCTGCCTCCGCCTTGCTGCTTGTTGGGGTCAGTGACACCTATGACCCAGAGTCCTGCGAGTGGTGTTCTTTGCTTGTACTCCATTCACCCAGTCCACTGAGACTGATATTTGGGTGCAGGCAGCTTTAGCATTGCATGCAAGGTTTAAGTTGCAGCAACGTGCGAGGTTGGTTGCCTTTCCGGATGCCCCGCAGCTGCCCCGCTGAATTATACTGGTAGTGAGACTCGGGTGGCTTCGGGGATTGCCCCTTCCGGATCGGCGGCGGAGGCATTCGAGCCTGGTCCTCCTGCCGGAGCTTTTGGGCCACGCCAGTGGGCCCCCTTCATCCCTGCTTTTCCGGTGGACTCTGCTTTTTCTCCAAAGGCAGAGGGTTTGGAGGACGGCTCGGCCCCGGGTCCTGACGTAGAGGATTCCGGGGCTGGGGAGGAGTTGACTTGGGGGGGGGGGGGGGGGGGGGGGGGTGCCCTGAGCCCCACTTGTCCCTGCTTGGGTGTTTGGTACCCTCGGCGCAGGGCTTGTTGTTACAGGGGGAGGGGTTTTCCTTTCCCCCTCCCTGTACGATTTTGTTATGAGTTCGACTCCTCCCCAGGTTCGGGTCCGAGTTCCACTTGGGTTCTTCAGTTCCCTCCTTCTGGAGGTTTTTGGCTTCCCGCATCCCACCGAGGAAGGTGTGGGAGGCTCCTTGCGACTTACCTCCTGCGAGACCTGGATTACATCTCGATAATGAAGCCTTCTTTTGGAGTTTGACTCCTCTTTTTCTTTATTGGGTGCGTTACAAGGTGCCGGAGTCTTCCTGGCTAGTAGACTGCCTTTTCTTCTTAGGGGGGCTTGGCATTCGTCCTGTCGGAATGCGCACTTGAATGGCGAGAGTTGCCTATGGTCGTTCAGGTTTTCCTGGGGGAGTGAGTTGGAGCATCTCAAGGTGTGCTAGTTCACTCCTGTCCTTCCTTATGATGTTGGCCAGGTGCGGCTTCACATGCAGGTTCCCTCCCTTTCGACATCCCTGGTGGCCGAGGATTTGTGTGCTCGTGGGTACTTGGCTTCAGTCTTGCTCTTCTTTTCCCTGCTGGAGCTGTCTTTGGACTGTCTTGTGCTGGGTGTGGAGGAGTTGGGTTCCGGGCCAGGGTCCGGTGTGCTTGCTTTAGCAGCTCGGGCGCCGGCTGCTTTGGTGAAGTTGTATGCTCGTTTCTGAGGGAGGCGATGTCTGATCTTTAGCTTCTTCCTCGTGTGCTGGCAGGCGGTGCTCGTCCAAATTTGGAGTCTTGGGCCCTGGCTCTTAGATTTTCATCACCTTTTTATCCGTTGCTGTTTGCAGAGTCTGCGGCCTGCTTTTTCTGCAGGTAGCTTCGTCTAGTTGACGGCCATTGTCGGACTTGTAGGTTCTCCGGGGGGGAGGGCATGGAGGTCCTGCCTGGAAGGGTCGTGCCAGGTCTCAGGGTTCCTTCGGTTGTCGTAAGCCAGTAGTGCCAGATTCGGGGCCGGCACCTCCTCTGGAGCCATCGGCGTTCTGGTCGGCGCAGTGATCACTCTTAGCATCAGTTGGACTCTTGTAGGGGTCGTCAGCCCTTTCACGGGATGCCCGTTGACGGGGCGATTGGGGGGGGGGAGGTTCGTGCTGTTTCCTCTCGCCTGTTCCACGATTTGTGGGCATTTCGGGTTGTTTCCTCCGACCTGTGGTGGCGTTGGGTCGCTCCTCCTCCTTCAGGGGGATCGGGGCTGGCAGGGCAGGTCTCTTCTCCTGCGCTCTGTCAGGTCATCCGGGGGTGGGTTCGCTTGGGTGTGGTCGAAATGACAATGTCCCTCAGGTGGGTTTCCACCAGTTTTCAGTTCCGAAACGGGACTGTGTGGATCTGTGATTCATACTGGACTTGTCTAGTCTGAATCCTAGGGACTTTATCCCCTCCTTTCAGATGACCACTCTGTCTCAGGTCCGGCTGCTTTTGGCGCTGAGTGCCTGGATGGTGTCTCTAGACCTCCGGGATGCGTATTGGTTTTATAATTTTATTGTACGCGTCCCAATTCATCCGGGGTTCAGTGACTGCCTCGGTTTTGTTGTGGGGCAACAAGCTTACCGCTTTCATTGCCTTCCATTCGGCTTGAATCTGGCACCTCGAGTGTTCACACGCCTTACTGGGTCGTGGTGACCAGTTTGCTTCTGTTAGGGGGTTCAGGTTTTGGCTTATCTCGACGACTGGCTGGTGTGGGTTCCCAGCCAGTCCGTGTGTCTGCTCGCCAGGGATATGGTTCTTTTCCAGCTTGCCGGATTCGGGTTTATGGTAGAACTGGAGGAAGTCCCTTTTGGTTCTCTCTCTGGCTGGGTCTGGTGTGGGACTCTCGGACCACTTCCTTGTCTCTCCCTCCTGTGACGCTGTTGCAGCTGCGGTCCCACCTCCGACTGTTTTTGAAGGGCACCCGGGTCACATGTCAGTTGTTTGAGCGGTTGTGCGGGAGCCTGTACGGCGTCTGTGTAGAGTAGTGGCAGGAAAGATTATTTTGGAGGATGACCAATCAATGGGATGATTAGAATCCCTCACATGGCAGAAGAGAGCATTGTTAGTGTCTGCAGACTTAACACTTCTCTTGTGTTCTTTAAGTCTGTCATTCAGTGTACGGCCAGTTTCATGTGAGGGATTCTAATCATCCCATTGATTGGTCATCCTCCAAAATAATCTTTCCTGCCACTACTCTACACAGACGCCGTCTTGTGGAATCGGCTCTGATACACAATGTACCCAACATGAACTTGAGTCCTGGCTTTGTTGCTTTGGACTCTTCCCTTTCACAGTATATACTCAAATGCTCTAATCTTTCTAACAAACGTGACTTAACCTAAGCTTACCCCTTCCATTTATCTTTCTTTCTCTTTCCTTTTCTTTCTCTCTTTTCCCCTTTTTTCAATTCATTGTCTTCTCCTACGCTCCCTTGCTTTCCTCTTCTTATTCCTATTACTATCTCCTTCTCATTCGGTGGTTATATTGGGAGCTGCCTCGTATGGGCCAATAGGCCTTCTGCAGTTCTCATTATTACTACTATCCCCTACACCTTACTTTCCTCCTCAGCTCTCTCTTGCCTATTTATTGCGTGTCTCTACCTCCTATTCACAATCGACTTGAGAATGGTCCAAGACGGACCGAAACGTTGTCGTCCCTTCAACTTTTAGTGAGTGGTCAGGTCAACATACTTTAGCCACGTTATTGTGACTCATCGCCTGCATAGACTTCATTGTGATTCCAGATGATGAATGTAAACAAATAAACCTTTGCAAGAACAGTATATTAGTGTGGCACAGTTAGATGAATGAGTGGAAGTGCTAGACATTCCAGTAGTGACAACAACAGTGAAGATGGTGGCTGTCTGGCTGCATGTTACTTACTTCTTGGTAAGAGTAGTTTGAACAAGATTCCAGCAGTACACGTACCCATCCTCCGAGCCTGACATCACATGGGTATCGGAGGAAGTAAAACAACTCTCCACCTGTAAGGGCAACATGATCACTGGCTATGAGAGAATTTTACATATCATTTCAGTTTATGCAAAAAAAAAAAAAAAAACAGCGTTTAATGTAATGAAACGCCATTTTCTGGGTGAGCCCTGGAGGCTCCCTGGAGCTTATTGGGCTAATGTACTTTATATTAGACCAGGATATCAACTATGGAGTTCAGACCTACCATGGACCAGCGCCAGTACCTTGCCTCTTCAGAGAGGTTTCAGGGAGCAATGGCCCTGGAAAACCCCCTTGTGGTTGGGGTTTTCCTTATCTGCCATCGACCGGGGTTAGGCACCCAGAAAGGTAGGCATAACAAAACAAACCACACATAGTAAGAAACTAAAACAAAAAACTGATCAGAGAGGTAGAAACTCCCTACAATCCCAAGGAAACGAGCAAACAAGCAAACATCACACTTTACTGCCGCGCCGATCGTCCACGCAGCCCTCCCCTCGCCAAGAGTGGGAGGGGGGAGCCCCGGACCTCACCGCGCTGGCTGCCTAGCACCAGTTCAGAAGCTAAGCTTCAACCGACACGAAAAAAACACCGACCGGTGGGAGGGAGAGTTTGCCAGGGAGCTTCCGGGGCTCACCCAGAAAATGGCGTTTCATTACATTCAACGCTGGTTTTCTGTGGGGAGCCTCTACGGCTCCCTGGAGCTACATACCCAAAGAGAAGGAAAATGGGGACTTACCCGGGAGATGGCCACCACAAACTCCTCAACACGAAGTCGAGACAACTGGCTGCAACCTGCAACCCAAAGCAACACAAGAATGCCCAGGAGCAGGCACGTTCACCAAATAATGGGCGGCCAGGACCCTGTTCGATCTCCAAAATCCACGCACACGAATATGAGCCTAAGACATGTTACTGAAAACGACAGCCAAAGCTGCAAATTTCCGAAGGTCATGGGCGCGAGGATAGACAGCAGGCTGGCTAGACTAAATAACCCTGCGGACAACCTGTTCGCAGGGTTATTCGCAACCTGGTTTCCCTTGTTCCCTGTTCCCGAGCCCTGGAACAGGGAACAAGGGAAACTGGATCAACCCAAAGCACATCCTCAGCCACCCCAGCCGAGGCGTGCAGGTAACGGCGAAGAGCCGCAACCGGACACAACACATGATGCACCCCCGGCCGAAGCAATCAAGCATCAACGACTCAAAGGCCCCTTCGGAAAGCAGCCGTCTCATTCTTCACCAGAAAAGATGGAGAAGGCTGCAAATATACAAACCTACCCCCAGGACCAAAAAAGCAGACACCCCTGTGCCGGAGGAGAGCATGAAGCTCCCCTACTCGACTCTCAGAGGTCAATGTCAACAAAAACAGGGCCTTGGAAAAACAATCTTGGACCGAAGGGGCCACCACAAACTGAGGAGAGGAAAGATAAGAGAGCACCCTGTCCAAGGACCAGGACGGCTCAGGCGGTGCATGAGCAGGCCGGAGGTGAAACATTGCACGAGAAAGCTTATGGAACTGGGTGGATGTGACATCCACCCCGAATGCGAGCTGGATCGGCTCCGCCAGCGCCGCACAATACGAGGCGACAGTATTAGGCATCAAATGACGGTCCTGAAAAAGCCAAGAAACCCAATCCGAAAGAGAAGACAACTTACAAAGAGCAAGAAAATGGCGAAAAGAACGGCAGGAAACTTCATACTGTCGCCGAGACGAAGCTCTCAGGTGGGACACCATCAATGAAGCCACCTGATCACCATAGAAATGATGATACACCTGCGTCAAAAAAGACCAGATGCGAAGAGCAAAGGAGAAGATCAAACCAGCCCCATACCGGACCGGTCCGACCTGCTGAAAAAGGCAGAGCCTTTTCTGGCTCTGCCTTTTCAGATCCACACATCCGCACAACAAATCCGCACATCCGCCGCTTTGGCGAACCATTGTTCGTCGAACCGGGTGAGTAAATCCGGCCAGAAAAGTGTGGGACCTAGCCGGAGATTCGTTGAATCGGGGTACATTGAATCGAGGTTGTACTGTACTGCTAACCGGCACCCAATGTTACCAAACAAACTGCTAAAGATGAACCCCTGGGACGTGTTCACTCATGGGGGCGAAGCAGGGTGTACCACCAAAAACAGAAGGTCAACCCCAATATAATTGGGGGAAGGGACACAGAGGCAGAACCCCCTCCCACCAAGCAAGAAAAAGAAAAAGAAAAACCTTACAAAAGGACAATGTACCCTGGAGGAACAGAGCCGGCTGCTATTATAGGTGAAAACTAGCTGCGCAGTACTCCGCGCCCCTACCAATGCAAAAACTACCACTTACCCTAAGGCACACAAGGGAGGAAACCCCCACAACACACTTGGGGCGATGAATTGCGGAGCAGCAAAAGACCAACAGAGGTAGACCCCAAGGTAACTTGTGGAAGATAACCCCCAAGCCCCAAGGGCAGTACTTACAGGGCACTTGGGGAAGGGAACCCTAAGAACATGCAGCCCGAGTAGCTGTGAATTTTATTCCCAGCTCGTACCCCATCGTAAAAGCAGTACTGGACCCAAGGTACAGCACAACACAGAGAGAGTCTGGAGCTGGAGCCACACGACCATGCCCTATCACATCAGCCAAAGAACTGCAGGGTGGATCGCCAGTGCAGGGGTCTGGGGCTCCCCAGGGACAGGCAGGCACCGGGAGCCGGTGGCTGAGCGGACAGAGCACTGGACACATGATCCTGTGGTCCTGGGTTCGATCCCGGGCGCCAGCGAAAAACAATGGGCAGAGATTCTTTCACCCTGATGTTCCTGTAAAGCAGTAAATAGGTACCTGGGAGTTAGTCAGCTGTCACCGGCTGCTTCCTGGGGATGGAGGCCTGGTCGAGAACTGGGCCGCGGAGACACTAAGCCCCAAAATTATCTCAAGATCGTCCCCCTCCTGGGGAGGGGGAAGCTGCGTAGACATGCGGTGCAGCTCGTGTGCCTGTCCCGGTCGATGACAAATATAGAATGCTCCAAATCGCATGTGCAATTCTATAGGCCATTGCTCCTCATGCCTCCCTGAGGGGGGGCTCGGTTCTGGCTCTAGTCCCCCGGTAGGCCTAAAGAACTCCATTCACACTGATGCCAAAGTTTAGGGATATACATATCAGCCTGGATAGCTCCAGGGAGCCAAAAACTTCATACACAAATTGTAATGGCTCAGCATGTCCTTAGATTCAAACTCACTGTAACTCGTGACCATAAATGTCAGAATGCCCTTAAAATGTTGTGGGTGGGTGGGTGGGCAGGCAAGCTGGCTAGCAGGTGGGAGGGGGTGGCTGGCTAGCAGACAGGTTAGCTGGCTACCAGGCTTGTTGGATAGCAGGTGGGCTGGCTAGCAGACAGGTTAGCTGGCTACCAGGCTTGTTGGATAGCAGGTGGGCTGGCTAGCAGCCAGGCAGGCTGGCTGGCTACCAGGCTTGCTGGCAAGCAGGCAGGCTGGCTGGCTACCAGGCTTGCTGGCAAGCAGGCAGGCTGGCTGGCTACCAGGCTTGCTGGCAAGCAGGCAGGCGAGCAGGCTGGCTGGCTAGCAGACAGATTAGCTGGCTAGCAGGCGGGCAGGCTGGCTGACTGGCTTGCTGGCTGGCTGGCTGGCTGGCTGGCTGGCTGGCTGACTGGCTGACTGGCTGGCTTGCTGGTGGGTGGGCTGGCTAGCAGGTTGGTGGGCTGGCTGGCAGGCTGGCTGGCTAGCAACCAGGCTGTCAGGCGGGCGGGCGGGCGGGCCGGCTGGCTGGCTGGCTGGCTGGCTGGCTGGCTGGCTGGCTGGCTGGCTGGCTGGCTGGCTGGCCGGCCGGCTGGCCGGCTGGCTGGCCGGCTGGCCGGCTGGCTGGTCGGCTGGCTGGCCGGCTGGCTGGCCGGCTGGCTGGCCGGCTGGCCGGCTGGCTGGCTGGCTGGCTGGCAGGTTGGCTGGCTGGCTGGCTAGCAGGCGTTCGGGCGGGTGGGTGGGCGGGTCGGCTGGCTGGCTGGTTGATTGACTGACTGGCTGGCTGGCGGGTGGGCTGGCTAGCAGGTGGGCTACTGCTATTTCTCCCTTCCCAAGGGTCTTGCTCTTACATAATTCCCTTTCCCAGGGTGACAAAGTGGGAAAATCAAAATTCATGTAAATTTGAAGAATTTACGTAAATTTTTCTTAATAACTTCTGAAATAAATATATAAAATCCAAGTGGAGTTACTAGCCAGCTAAATGAAAACAACACTGTATCCCATAACTAAGACACAGGGTGTCTCTCTTACAAAATGACATGAAAAACAAAAACCTGTTTATAAATACCTTATATTCTTTACTGGTGTGGCCAGTATACTGAGAGAGAAGTTCTCCAGTTTCTCGATCCATGAGACGTATAGAAGAGCCCATAGTTGAGGAGAGAACACACTGGCCATCGCCACTAAATGATGCACATGTCACACTTTCTGGCATATAAAGTATACAAAAATCAGCGTTGAATGTAATGAAACACCAGTTTCTGGGTAAGCCCTGGAAGCTCCCTGAAGCTATCGTCACTGCGAAAGTGCCATACTACCTAGTGTCATTAGTTGCAGAGTTCTTTGCCTACTGGGGACCACCATCCGGAACCTGGCCCCCCTCACAGGGGCACAGAGAGCGATAGCCTATGATCACTTTACATTTAAAGGATATCATCTTTGCCATCACTAGGGAAGGCACCCAGAAAGATAAGTGAATCAAAACAAACCACTGCCTGGTTAAAAAAATGCAACCAAAGCCCCCAAGCCGTGGTTGGAAGCATTCTATGTCTGCCATCGACCGAGTCAGGTACCCAGAAAGGTAAGCATCCCAAAACAAACCCCTATTCTGGTGAAAATATTGCTACGAAAAGCCAAACAAGTAGATAGAACTCCCCTAAAAGAAATGAGCAAACGAGTATGACATCACACGTCGCTGCACCGCTGTCTTCACAGCTCCCCCTCCACAGGAGGGAAAAGGAGGTACTCCCAGACCCTCCACGCCGGTCATCCACCTGTCAGTTCTGAGGCTGGATGCCGGGAAGCCTCCAGCTCTCACCCAGAAAATAGTGTTTTATTACATTCAATGCTGGTTTTCTTGGGGCGGGGAACCCCTTCGGCTCCCCAAAGCTAACTACCTACAGAGAAAAAACATAGCGACTTACTCGGGAGGTGGTACTGCTCACTCCTGAACTCGAAGTCAAGACAACTGGCTGTAACCGCCGACCCAAAGCGACACAGGCCCTCCCTCCATCTCTCCCTCCATCTCTCCCTCCCTCCATCCCTCTCTCCCTCCCTTCATCCCTCCCTCCATCCTTCCATCCATCTCCATTCTCTCCCTCCCTGCCTACCTCCTAAGCTCTGCCTGCCTGCCTCCTTCCCTGCCTCTCCCTCCCTGCCTACCTCCCAGCCTCTTCCTGCCTGCCTGCCTACATTTCAGCCTCTCCATCCCTGCCTGCTTGCCCATCCACCCACCAGTCAGCCATTACTGACACAATGAGTGCATTTGGAGCTGACATGGTGCATGGATGTTCCTTGATTGTGCAGATATGTCTAACAAAGTCACGGAATGAACACTCCAGCCTTTTGACAAATCAAAACAATGTGCCATTGTTTTGATTTGTTTGCCAATATGAATCTGTGATGTCACAGGGTAGAAGGCACTAGAGTGGTGGACCAAGTGGCAGTCTGTACAAAATATATCTTACCTGAATGTTACTTGAAAAATTACCGACACTTAATTTCGGAAATACCGGAGCTCCGGAAATAACGACGAGGGTACAGCCCGATATAGGCCGTTAAATCGAGTGGATACACCCCCGACAGCCTTGCAGTCGAGGAAGGGCACCACGTATACCGGGAGACTCCTCAACCACGCCAACGCGAAGAGATCCACGTCCGGAGTCTCGATCGTCTGGCACAGCCAACTGAAGGAGTCGGCATCGACCGTCTATTCCGTGGAAAAGGGAAGGAAACGAGACAGGCCGTCCGCCAGGACGTTGGACACCCCCTGGACGTGAACTGCCAGGAGAGCCAAACCCCAAGAATTCAGCAGACGAGTAACCCGAAGTGACCAGCCCAAAAGAGCCAAAGACTGCATCGAGCCCCCCTCGATTCAGCCAATGAACTACCAGGGAGCAATCCAAATGGAGCCGGATCGTCAATCCGCAAGTGACTCAAACCCTCCGGAGCGACATCCACACCATCGCAAACCGTGCTGTGAGCCCGACGGAATAACAGACCCCCACCGCCCCTGGCCAGCCTGGTGAGCACTGGTCACAAAATCCCAGCCAAGAGACGATGCGTCCGTGTACACATCGAAAGAGGGCTCAGGTAGGCACCAAGGCACTGAACCCCGAAAAACTCGAAGAGGAAGCCGGCAATGCGGCAACCGATGCAAAGCCTCCTGAGGCCGAAACCAACGATCGCGAGAGAGGCAGAAGGGCCATCCCCTAAGGAACCAGAACAGCCGACGAAGCCACACCTGACCTGGAGGGTAGACCATCATGGCAAAGTTCAGGCTCCTGCACAAACTCTCGAGCAACCGCTTAATGACCCGGGAGCCTCTCAGGAACAGACGAAGGCGGGAATGCAGACGGAGCACAGCCGCCGGGGCAAGAGACAAGGAAGAGGTACGAGCGTCCCAAACCAGACCCAGCCAAGACCGAACCTGAGAGGGAACCAGATGGTACTTCCTCCAGTTCACCAGGAACCCGAACCCGGCAAGCTGGGAAAGAACCAAATCCCTGGAGAGCAGACACGCGGACTGGCTGGGAGCCCAAACCAGCCAGTCATCAAGGTAGGCCAGAACCCGGACACCTAATAAATGAATACGAGCCACTACGACCCGAGTAAGGCGTGTGAAAACGTAAGGCACCAGATTCAACCCAAAGGGAAGACAACGAAACCTTGATGCCCCACAACAAATGGAGCAGAGTAGTCATCCTGAAGGTGGGGCAATAAATCCATGGGTTCAGACGGGACTACAGTCTGTACCTTGGAATACGAGTGTCCCTGAATACGAGTTTTTCGGAATACGAGCAGGATTTGCTCGGAAAATGTGCCTCGGAAGGCGAGGGTTACCTCAGAAGGAGAGTTTGTTGATACGCGTACAGGCCGACCTAGCGCGTGGTGGTGGTACGCCGATCGTCATCCCTCACCCCTCAGTTTACCAGTGCCTCGCACCCAGTGACTATCCCACGTTAATTCTTCACCCGGATTTTCAGTGTTTTGTTGGATTTTTGGTCATTTGACCATAAAAGTTGTTATTATATATCTCGCCATGGGTCCCAAGAAAGATAGTGGTAAGGTTCAACCTAAGAAAATAGTGTGACGTTTCGGGCTATCGAGCGGCAACACTGAAAAGAGTATACTCTTTTCACTGTCCTGACATTAATTTTCGATGTACGTATTATATTTTTGTACCAATGTGTTCGCAATAGAAAGTTCTTGAAGAACATAAGTATAAAATGTCACACAAGGATGCGTTAGACCGGCACCAAATAAAAAACTACGTCGATTACACTTATCGTGTCAACAATACAATGGTCTTACCTCGATGGTGCAATGCTATGCAGTTCTCCCAAATAGGCTATGCGGCAGCCAGATACAGCTTGGAGAATCTCCATCTAATACAATAAAGCATTCATGAAACAAGTATTTTATAACATTTTATTATCCTCTTAAGAAATTTAGGAGAAAACGGAAATTTCATGGTGGACATTTTCAAACTATCCCAAATTCGATCGCATAACAAATAGAGTTTATAGAAATATTTTTTCTCGTGACTCGTGAGCAAGTCCGCTGTGCAACCTCAACACAAAAAGTGGTAATGCTCTTGAGCGCTGTGATAACGCTAAAGTGTTAAGAAAATGTGTAATTACCTAAGTGTAATTACCTAAGTGTAGTTACAGGATGAGAGCTACGCACGTGGTGTTCCGTCTTCCCAGCACTCTTTGTCATATAACGTTTTGAAACTACTGACAGTCTTGGCCTCCACCACCTTCTCCCCTAACTTGTTCTAACCGTGTACCACTCTGTTTGCGAAAGTGAATTTTCTTATATTTCTTCGGCATCTGTGTTTAGCTAGTTTATATCTATGACCTCTTGTTCTTAAAGTTCCAGGTCTCAGGAAATCTTCCCTATCGATTTTATCAATTCCTGTTACTATTTTGTATGTAGTGATCATATCACCTCTTTTTCTTCTGTCTTCTAGTTTTGGCATATTTAATGCCTCTAACCTCTCCTCGTAGCACTTGCCCTTCAGTTCTGGGAGCCACTTAGTAGCATGTCTTTGCCCCTTTTCCAGTTTGTTGATGTGCTTCTTAAGATATGGGCACCACACAACTGCTGCATATTCTAGCTATGTAGTATGTAGTGAAGTATGGGAAGAATTGCAAAGTTTTGTTGAAAAAACTCGCCCAGATAAAGCTGTAGCAGGCCATTGCATTGACCTTTTAAATGACAATGTGATGTCTTACTACAGACAAGTGTTAAAATGTAGGGAAAAACATGTGTCTTTAGACAGATTATTAGTAAGACAAGCAAGTCTTAGTGGTATGCAGGCAAAACGTGCCAGTGTGTGCAAACCAGTGAAGACCTCACTGCCTGATGTTATAATGGACGGGGACTCCCCTTCCAAACAGTAACACCTCTTCTCCTCCCTCCTCCTCACCATCTTCCATACGCCAACAGCAAGGTAAGTAATAACTTGAACATAGTTATGTAAGTTTATTTAGATAAATTAGGTATAAAATTTAGTTTGAAGTGAGGTTTTTGGGTAGTCAGGAACGGATTAATTCATTTCCCATTATTTCTTATGGAGAAACTAGCTTCGGATTACGAGTTTTCGGAATACGAGCTGTCTCCAGGAACGGATTAAACTCTTAAACCGAGGTACCACTGTAGTCCAGAATGAACCGGAGGTCTGCGCAGTCCCGTTTTGGGACTGGAAACAGGCGGGAAACCCACCTGAGGGATGAGGTGGGTTTTGACCACGACCAAGCGAACCCACTCCAAGATGACCTGACAGAGCGCAGGAGAAGAGGCCTGCCCCCGTCAGCCCCGAACCCCCGGAGGGAGGAGGGGCCACCCAATGCCACCACAGGCTGCACGTAACAACCCGAAAAGCCCACGAATCATGAGACCAGGCAAGCTTCCCCCCCCCTCCCCCCATTCAATGGGACAAACCACAAAAGGGGCAACGCACCTTACGAGAACCTGAGTGGCGGACAGGGCAATCCCCACGCCGACCAGAAAAAGACAGAACCGAAGGCTGCGCCTGCCCCGAATCTGGCACTATTGGCCTACCGCGAGGAACGGAGCCCCGAGCCTTGGCACGACCCTTCCTGGGAAGGCACCCCACAAGCCCCCAGAGCACCAACAAATCAGACATAGGCCGACAACTAACCGAAGCCGCCTGCAGGTACTGCACCACACTAGACTCTGCA